GAGAGAGAGAGAGAGAGAGAGAGAGAGAGAGAGAGAGAGAATGTATATGCTTGTGTCATAGCATGTATGTAGAGGTCAGAGAACAACCTTGGGTGTCATCCTCACTTTTCACCTTAAAAAATTTACATTTTATGTGTATGAATGTTTTGCTTACATGAATGTTAAGTGCACCCACGTTTTTCAATGCCTGTAGAGGTCTGAAGAGGGTGTTGGATTCCCTGGAATTGGAGTGACAGACAGTTGTTAGCACCCATGTAGGTGCTGGGAACTGAACCCTAGTCCTCTGCAAGAGCAATCGGTGCTCTTAATTGGGCCATCTCTCCAGCCCTACTTTTTTGAGACAGTCTCTTCAGGGTAGGGATAAATTTTTCTCCAGGGCTTAGCAAGAGTACCCAACAAACATGCTGAATAAATGAATTAATTAAAACAGCTTCTCAAGAGTAAGAAAACTTTATAATACACGGGCTATTTTGATGGCATTCGTGCCTGTGCTCAAGACTCTCAGGACACAGATCTGTAGCAGACAGGGATGAATGGCCAGGTGCCTTGTGGCCATTATTTACTACTTTTAGACATGGACAGTTCTGAGTCTTGGAGGATTTAAATTCTAAACTCCTTTGGTGAAAAAAAGAAGGGAAAGGAGTAAAACCAAGTTCACTTCTACTGAAATGGAGGTGCCTCTCTCTGGCCTGGCCTTTTGATCCATTGGACTGAAAACACTGCAAGGCCATTGAGCAGTGTTGGGAAATGAGGCAGCACTTTCCCTTTGAAAGATGACAGTCTTTGACTAGTGACTTATAGTAAGAATGAAACATGTTCTGAAAGCCCTATAAAAATTTATTGGGCGATCTTTGCTTCATTTTCAACTCTAGTACAAAGGAAAAAAATAACTCGCTAAAATTACATGTAAAGATCCTCCTCTATACCTCAATGCAACCCGACATTCCTGACTGCAAAGAGAAAACACTCTATTTGCCAGACCTAATTTTGTTTCCTAGGGCTATTGTGACTTTTAAAATATCTATTTAGGTACTGTGGTGAGTCACTGCACAGAATGCTTAAAAATTATGGGCAATGAACATATTGGTAGCTGTATCCTATCCTAAATTTAGACTATGTTTAAAAACAAACAGAAAAAGAATGCCTTTTCTTGTCTAGATTTGTTCTACATCAATCTCACTTAAAAAACTAAAAAAAAAAAAAAAAAAATCTCTTATGGAACTAGAATCCAATTCAATGCAGTTAAATTCAATTTAGTGTTTGTTGAACATTACTGTGACCTGCATTGAACTATGTGCATCCATGAACAACTCCTATGATTCCTATTTTGAGGGGCACCCAGAGCCAGATACGCAGTCACAAGTGAACACAAGTGTGGCATAAATATAAGCAGTACTGGGCCGCACAGAGGGGCTTGCACTATTGCTGTCATCAAGCGTGCCTTCCTGACTCCGCAGATGGAAGGAAGGTGGCTGCAACAGGCAGCAGCACCCCACTGTTCATTTAAGGCCAACCTCAAAAACTCAATTCATACAGCAGGTGCAGACTTTTCAGTCTCTGGTAATGGACAAGAGACCAATACAACATTAGCATTTTAACTTACTATAGTAATTCAGCGGAATAAGTGTGCTCCTAAATGATACAACAAAACTTTATGTGTATGTACATGTCCAAATCACTATCTTTATCTGTCCTTCTTCTATAATCCATAGAATGCTAGTGCATGTGAGGGAGGGGGAAAGGCTGATCTGGGTACTAAGTTATAGTTAGATAGGATGAAGAAATTCTGGTGTGCTGCTGCACAGTGGGGTGATGTGGATTACCTTTAAACACTGCATACATCAGGGGAGAGCGCGAACGCAGTCCCCCACTACCACAAATTATGCAGTCGAGTTTCCCACATTTGGGGAAATCGCAGGGGTCAGCACATCCGGAGTGCAATGGATAAGCCTCGCTCTGGGAAAACCACCTTCGTGATCATGGTATCTCCCCTGCCAGGTAAGTATATACTGTGCATTTTTAAAAGCTAGAGGAAACGATCTAGAATCTTGTCATCACAAAGTATATTTGAGGAGATCTTTTTAAACTTATTTAAACATTGCACAAAGAATACATGTTTTGCAGTAGGGTTGGTGAGATGGCTTACGATCCCTGGAACTCACATAGTGGAAGGGGAGAACTGACTACCTGAGTTGTCCTCTGACCTCCATCTGTGCACTATGGGATGTATACATGCAGATACACATACAATCATGCACAGATACACACACACAAAATAAATGTAATAAAAAAGAAAAATTGAAACATCACATAGTATTCCATACATGTGTCTAGCTTTCATGTCTTTATGTATCATTTACAAAATAAGCCAAGTATTCTGGCACAAGCCTGTAATCCCAGCACTTAGGATCTTGTCATTATTTTCCTTAAAGTCTACTTTCCTGCTCCCCACAAACTCATTTAATTCTGCTCTACACATTCCCCAAATTATATGAAAATGGACACATTTCATATGATATGGCATATTTACTTTGTCTTTGCATGTCTCTAGGTCTAATCATATCCTAATTTGAGAAATACAGAGTTAATACCCCCACTGGAGCCTAAGGTCACCAAAGATAGGCACATCCTTACTCATTTTTCTATTTTAGCACATGCCTCAAATGGTAGCTTATAGCCACTCTAAATAATCTTCCTTCTTGCTCTGAAACAAAATAATACTATGCCAGTGCTCCTGGTTATAGTCCCTTTGCTCTTCGAGAGGAGCTGTAGTCAGTAAAATGAACAAGGTTATAAGCAGCAGTATAGACGAATCTTAGAAGCAATGCTTACTGAAAAATGCAAAATAACATTTTTATTATGCTCAAAACCAGGCAAAACTAAGCAATATGTCGTTTAGAAATATCCAGTTAACTGGTAAGAGTTCTTGTTCCTCTATCAAAGTGAGAGAAGATAAAGGACAATTGTAATTAGAGAGGAGCACAGGGTAGATACAGGCTATGACAATTCCTAGTCCTTGTGTGAGGCAAATGGTTTGTGGGTGTTCATTATGTTGTCATGATTTCTAACTTAACTGTTACGTATCTTCTCTTACAAATACCAAATCTGAAACACAAAATTTGAGATTTTTTTTAATGCTATAATTTCTCAGACTCTTTAACATGCTAATGTGAATTGTGATTTTCCAAGAGGGTGATACAGTATTTTCCAAATCAGTTGTATGCAAACTTTAAAAACAATTATCAGCCAGGCGTGATGGCTTACGCCTTTAATCCCAGCACTTGGGAGGCAGAGGCAGGCGGATCTCTGTGGGTTCAAGGCCAGCCTGGTCTACATAGTGAGTTCCAGGACAGCGGGGGCTACAGGGAGACCCTGTCTCAAAAAGACAAAAAAAAGAAGTTATAGTATATACATAAATTGGAATCTGGAGATATACCTATATTTGAGACATGGGTTAATTCAACTTTAGTCATACAAATGCCTACTTCCCATTAGGCATAAGACCTTCCAGGTATGGAACATGGCTTTCCCTCTCTAGCACTTGAACACAACTTCACACATAGCAGTATTAAAGAAAAGCTGGCCAGTGTCAGGAGGAAAATAAACTCCCAAAGACAATCTATGAAGAAGGTGCTATGGGTCCAATGGCCCACTTTGAGATG